TGGTGGACAATGACGGAGATGGTGGTCGTGGACAAAGACGAAGATTGTGGTGGACGACGACCGAAATGGGGAGGACAAAGACGAAAATGTTATGGACGAAAATATATACCATAGTGGAAAAGTAATAACTAGGGGTATAAATATCTTTTTCATTTTGTGAATAGCGTCATTTGTGGTAGATTTCAAATGTTTTCAATTTATTGTAAATTTTGAATATTTTTTTTGAAAATGGAATTTTATGCAAAAATTCCTAATTTTTTTAAACTTAAAGAAATTTATTAGTGTCACATGTAATTAGTTTAAGCAAATTTGTTGTCATTATATGTGTAATTGATTTATCGAGATGGTCCTATAAATAATTAAGCATGATAGACAATGGTCTGGATAACTCCATGGATTATGCCACTTGTCTTAGCCTCTCATTCTAAATGGGATGACCACACTGCATAGCGATATTCAAACTTGATACTGAGTATTGGGTATGGATAACTCGACAGGTTATGCCACTTAGCTTTGCCTCTCATCCTAAATGGTGTGACTACACCGCATATTGATTATCAGACTGGATTCTAAGTGGTTAGATGTATAAGTAAAAAAGAACAGAAACCAAAACACTGAATCCAAGTTTCCATATCACAAATTCGAGCTGGATATTAATTGTAATTCTTTCTAAAGTGAGAATGTTATATTATATAAATATGTTTGAATTAGTCTTGTGAAAAATGGTCCATGCACTTGTATATACAAGGTGGTAGGTGAAAAAAACTCAAGTGAATTGTGCAAGGCCAAACCGATGTATATGTACCGACCTGACTTAGGACGCGTAACTCGATATATTAGTCCAGACGGCTAAAATCCTATGTATACCCATGATGTCTTACAAGAGAAAGGACTAGCTAGGACTTTTAGTTAAACCTCTTATTCTCCAAACACTTTATCCTTCTTCTTTAGTCTGTTTCTGATTCTAATAGTCATATTTCCGGCCAACTCTTGTCTTCTCTTTAGTCATGCTCGACCATTTTTCTCACTAAATACTCTATTTTTCTTTCCATCTCACCACTCTAAATTTCTATGTCGAATATCTTGATACACTGTGGATCAACACCGACTCGACCTGATGTCACCTTTTTCTTTGTCATTTGTTTTTCGACTTAATTCTGCCACTAACTCTTTATCTCTCTGTCTTCCTCTCTCTATTTGTTGACTTGAGTGTTAAAAAGCTATGAGAAACACTTCACCATCGTGATTTTGCCTCAACGCGTTTGTTGCTTGTGTAGGTGACTTGCCTCCTAGTGGAACCCATGACAAAAATCCCCTAAATATTTGACACTAAAACAAGGGGGAATTTTGTAACACCTAGTTCATGGGACCTTAAATTCCATGCATGTGAGCTAGAATATCTTTCATTGCTCAAAAATCTCTTTAATATGTTGTTTTGAAAGATATAACATAAAAGGTACATAAAGATACAACGCTTTGAGAAAGTTAGCTATGTTTCCTGCTGCTTTCTTTTCCGGTGCCATCCTGTAGTCCACATGTGAAACAACCTGACCCGTTTTTTTTTTAACATTTAACATTGGATTCGAATTAATGTTCCCATAAACATTAATTCTCAATACCCAATCAACTCAACAATAATCATCAATCAAACATCAAACCAGCGGAAATCATAATCAAACCATTCCATTTCAACGATAAATCCAATAACCAATATCAATTGAAATAACCAACACAAACCGATAATCAATTCC